TCATGCGCCCTACTTTAGAGCCCAAGGCTGGCAAACAGGACAGCTTTGTTCTATCTGTGGCCCATCCACTGACTTGCCTTGTGATTTAGAGCAAGCTTCTTAATTTGATGGTGTCTCAGCATTCCCACATGTTAAGCAGGGCTAGTAATTAGTGATGGAAACGCTTTGAAACCTGCAGATGAAAAGACCTGCAGCCTTGAGTGAAAATATTGTCTTTCTAATGATGTTCTTTTGGTTTCTTATAGCTCCTAGGACCCTTCACAAGGAAAGAAGAAAAAGAAAACAAGAAAAGGAAAGAAAAAGGAAATAAATAGGACAAAAGTAAAACTAACTGCATTTGCTTGTTCACTAGAAGCCAATGGAACTTTTGAGACATAAATATAATAATCTCCCTTACTCTATAGTACTCAATACATATTACAAATGAATGAACAAATTTTATTCAAAAAAGCATTAAGAGTTTTGGAAAACCACTGAAGATTTGAAAAAAATGATTTCTATTTTGTTTCTACCTTCTTAAACTCTAAATATTTCCCAGGAGGATGATAAAGGAGCTAACACTTCTTTCTGTTGTGTGCCAGGCATCTGGTTAACTGCTTTCACATGAAACTTCATTTAGTCATCATAATAACACTATCAGGCAGATGCTATTATTACCTTCAGTTTACAGGAGAGGAAACCATGGGTTGGTATAGTTCACTTACTTGTCCGAGGTTACAAAACTAGGAAGTTGCAGTGCCAACACTAGACCAACCTGGGCCTTCCCAACTCTAAATTCAGGCTCTTCGTAGGACACCCTGATGCCCTGAAAAATTAGCAATGATGACAATTTTAAACTGTCCTATTACACCCTGGGTGTGTGTGGTATTTAAAAATCCTTACTGCATGTTCTTTTCAGTCCCTGGCACAGGGACAGTTATTTGTGTAGCACAATTGTTATTATTGTGCAGCCTCACATATTCTCTCTGCCCTGGGCAAACATGAACAATAATGGGCTATATTTATGAAACCAGCAGCTTGGAAGCATGAGCTCCAGATTACCATTACAATTGTAGTATAATTTTTTTTTTGGTAGCTTAGCACCATTTATATGGAAGGCCGTTCTTAAGTCTCATGCAAATAAATTGGTTCTTTGTATATTCAGAGAGCTCCCCACAGTTGGTTTTTCTTTTTTTTTTTTTTCATAGTTCCAATCAATCATCCTGCATTTCTAAATGCTGACATCACAGATGTGCAGTGTTTAGGAAGAGCTGATACAAAAGTCACCTCCAAAAATCAGAAAATAAAGGAATACAAATCGTTGTGGTTTCCCTTAAGGGTGGGTTGGGGAGTGGCAGTGGGAGTTAGAGTAGGATATAAACATAATAGAATGATAGGCTGATGACAAAACTGTTCATGATCTAAGCTCTCCCCTTCAGGATCATCTTGGGTTTAGGGTTATTATAAATCCAGAGCCTCAGCTTCATTTTTCCATGGTCAGAAGCACCATTTTATCAAGTCTTCTTGGGGGTGATTAATGTCTGCAGGGCACCTGCAACATGACTTAGTAAAAATAAGAAGCACATTTGAGTCAGAAGAGCTGTGTATAATTTACTATGAATTTGGACAAAGTCCTCTTCTGTAAAATAAAATTAATAATAATCTCTATAGGGTTGTCATGAGGATTCAATGAAATAATGTATACGAAAGCAGCAATTGTTGGTTATCACTCTCCAGATTTAAGTTATCAGACACAGCTGTATTTACCTAGGGAATATCTACCTTTCTGACCACAGGGATATGTGTATCAGCTGTTCAAGGCAATATATCTGCAAAACTGACTTAGTAATTGGAGGGTTCTCTGAGGGATAGAGAGTTAAATGGTGAAGTGGTTTTTAAAATTGGTATCCTTATAGCTACCACTTATTGGACATCTATTCCAGGCCAGGCTCTTTGATAGGACATTTATGCGTGATTTCTAATCCTTACACCAGCCCTACAAGGTAGATATTATTTCCAATGTACACATTTCATAATGCGTGAAATTTAGAGACTCAGAGATATTAAGCAGCCCTAGAAAAAACATTTAAGCCCTTTTTGTCTGCTTCATGAAGCTCATTCTTGTTACACTGAATTAGATCATAACATATCTTCCATTAGCTACTTTATACTCTCCTAAAATAGATTTGGGATATGACCCAGTGCTTTGATGAGATCTGGGACACGCATTTGCAAACTGTCATTGGTGTGTCATTTAAAAAAATTCAGTCCCAGAAGTTCTAGATTTTTTTTTTTTTTGGAGTTTAGACCATCACTCCTACCCCCCACTACATGTCAAGTTTTTTATTTAAGCCAGAACCAATGAGCAGAGAAGGAAGCAGTACAAATTATTGGTGGTCTGGAAGGGGAACAATTCTAGTATAATGATTTTTAGCTGGTCTTCCTTTGCTGAGTGGTCTAATTATCATTATTATTATTTTAACCAAGGTCCAAACCTGATTTAAGCGACATTTATTTAAAGAAGTTATTTAGAAAATGTTTGTTCCTTGGTTTTCTTATCTTTGAAATGGGGATAAAATTAAGATCCAAATAATAACTACACATGAGACTATGCATTCAGTTCAGTTCAACAAACTTTTATCATGCTTATTTGACTCCGGGAGTTGTGCTAAATGCTATAAAACATTTATAAACTGTGAAAAGCAATAGTGTACAAATATGTGTTATTTTTTTAACTTAATATCAATCACACAATAATTATAACAATAATTCCTTATATTTCCTCAATATTTTCCACACTGATTTGCTTATTTTTATACATGGGAAAACGAGGCTCAAACAGGTTAAACGGTTTGTCTGAGGTCACACACTGAATGACTCCATTATTCTCCTTACTACCCCACATTGCTTTTTTAGGAAACTCTATACACCTGGGACTCCACTCTATTCACCCTAGAGTAATATCTAATATCTCATATGGTTTGGAGGAGTCTTCTTGAATAGCAAGTGAATGTTTACTCCTGATAGCAATTTATTCCATGACTTTTAGGTTTCCTAGTGAAATTTGTGTATCTATGTCTTTATAGACATTTTCATAAATGTTGTTTTATTCATCCTCACAACAACCCTAAGTTTGTACAGCTAGAAATGGCAGAGCTAGCATTGGAACTGGAATGTTTCTGATGTCCAAGCCCTGTTTGTTCCACTATACTACACTGCTTTGGTTATGAGCTGTACAACCTTGTGCAAATCACTTGACCTCTATGGCCTTCAGTTACCACACCTGTAAAGTGGGTATGGTGATTACTACCTTTCAGAGTTGTTGTGAAGCTCAAATATCTTAATGTAAAACAGAAAATTCAAGTAGAAACATCAGAGGTACCAAGGTGGGGTAATTGGAAACAACAGTATCTCCCCTTCTCCCTTGAGTTAAAAAGATTAACAGCAAAAGGAGATTAAGGGAAACTCTTGAGAGTGGTTGTTCACCAGACCTGCTTGGCTTAGTCTTCATAGCTGGACCTTGTAAAAAGGGGTCTGAATAGAGCCAGGAGTTTCTCTGGAATGAGCATTTCTGGAATGGTTTGCCTATGGTGACAAAGGACTGAAAAGCTAGGTGGGGCTAACTCGGTCCAGGTTTAGTTGGCCCTCCTGGGGGTCAAATGGGGACTGTGATAATGGTACAGGGATGTGGGCCTGATAGAGTTGTGGTTTATTGTTGTGGGAAGCCACCATGACTGAGAAAGGAAGACCAATTCTGGGTAAAAACTCTTATTGAGGCTTTCTCGGTGCCAGACTAAACTGTGCAGGGGATATAGTAGTCAGTCGGCATCTTGTCCTTAAGGATTTCACAGTCTAGTGGGGGTACAGAAAAGCACGCAACTAACTTCTAAAAACAAGGCAGAATATAATAAGGAACATATCAGAGCAACTAAGACGTGGGGTGGGAGTTCCTACAAGGCTTCTTTAAGTAGGGAGCATATAAGCCAATCCTTTAGAGATGAGGCCTTCCAGTTACTGGTTGGTTATTCTAATTGAAGGTGGCAGCATGAGAAAATGTAGGCTGTTCTATGTTTAATATAGGCAGGACTCTCGGTCTGTATTAAGTACATACTATGTGCTAGGGTCTGAGGATATAGAAGTATATCAGAAACAGTACTTGTTATCAAGGAACTCTCAGGGGTAGACAGATGTAAACAGTCACTAGGGTGATGATGACTTCGTAAGGTAGAGAAACCATGTTAAAAAGAAAAGCGTGTGTAACTCGAACTTGGGGAGGTAGCAGATGTTTTGCAAAGGAGGTGATACTTGAGTTGTGTCTTGAGAAAGTAGAGGAGTTTGCCAGGTGTACTATGGAAAGAGTTAGGAGTGCTGTAGGCAACTGAGTAGGCAGGTCCCAGTGCTCTTTTATTGAACAGTCTAAGTGTGGCAGGCAGCAAGCAGGCAAGGCAAGTATTCCTTTCGCGCTCCCTCCTAGAGTTTGGCTCCGGGAGGGAATGACTTAAGTTTTCTTTTTCAATATCACACCCTAATAGCAGATGGCTAAATGAAAGGTTTTGGAGTCGGACCTAAATCCTATTCCAGCTATATAATCAGCTGTATGACCTTAGGTATGACACTTATTAGTGTTTCAGTGTCCTCGTTTGTACAACTTACGTCTCAGTTCATTTATACAATTCAAAAATAAAGCATCTAGCACAGATTCTGGCATCTATAAAGTACTGTTATTATTTTCCAACATTATCTTATTTAGTCCTCACAAGCACCTTGGGCTTTGGGTATAATTTTTCCCATTTTTCAGAAGCAGAAGCTTAGAGTAGGTAGGCGACACGCGTAAAGTTCACAGCCCGTCCGCCTTAATGTCTTATCCGCGCCGGGTTTTTTCAGGCCGTTCCGGGTTCAGGCTCCGGCCCAGCGGCTTAAAATCCGGCGCCAGGATTTGGTTACCACCGCGGCCTGCGCGGGGCGGGCGGGGCAGGAGAGAGGAGGGAAGTTGTCGAAGTTCGGGGAGACGCCCGCCAGCCCGCCCGCCCGGGCCTCGCCTCCGGCCGCTCCCTCCGCCTCCTCCCCGCCCCAAACCCCCGTCAGCCCGTCCTTCCTTCCCCTCCCGTGCATGATGGAAACACCATGGCTGCGGCGGCCCAGCTCTCCCTGACACAGGTAACACCACCCGCCCATCGGCCGGGCTCGGTCGGTCGGTTTCCCCGGCCGGTCCCCTCCCCCACCGCCCGGTGGTTCACCGCCCCGGGCAGTTTCTCTCGGCTCCGGGAGAGGTGGCCGATAGTGAGAGCGAGAGCGTGTGCGTGTGTGCAGGAGGGAGGGCGCCATCCCCAGCCGGGTGCTCCGTGGAGGCAGCCGCGACCCCACCCGGGGTCGATCGGCGCCCCTGGCTCCACCCCACGCGGCGCCCCAGCTAAGTGGACCGTGCCCTCAACCCGGCTCAGCCGGTACCGTGTCCCTCTCCCCCCACTCAGCTTTCACCCACCCAGGAAGTTTCCTTCTTCCAGGCCAGACTGTCCCAGGTGAGCTCCTGTTGAGCTCGCGCCGATCGCTCCGGTCAGCCCTCGGCCCGCACGAGGCTCACCCTCTGGGTTAGGCAGCGCGCTTCCCCTGGTTGGAGTCACCTTCCCCAGCCAGACGCTCAAGGCATCTGTGCTCTCTGAACCGGCCTTTCCCCACTGGATTCCAGCGAAAGCCCTCCCTTTTCCAACAGTTTCCTCCAGTGAGTCTCTGTTCCAAATAAGTCTCATCCTACCTAAGTACTTACCCTGCAAGCCCCTTCCTGAGTTCAGCATCTTTCCCTCCTGATCAGGTTTCCTGCTGGGTCAGACCCCCATTCGTCTTTTCCTACTCAAGTCTGGTACCATTCCTGGCTGCTGTCCAAGCGGATAACAGGGAAACATCCTTTAACAGGTGTCGTGGTTCCACCAGTCTTGGTGCTGGGAACGGCCACCTGTCCTGGGGGACTTTTCACCAAAACCGGTTCTCAGGGTCTTTCTTCAGAGCCCAGTCCTTGTGCCTCCCAGAAAACCTCTCAACATCACTGACTCTGGCAGCCTCGTTGTAAAGAAAGTCAGTTATAATCTTGCCATGATGTCCAGGATGATGAGGTGACATGCACCTGTCAGTCGCTTCCCACTCCTTGACCAAAACTTATCCCATTCTCACCGTACGAGCATGTGGTCTCCAGAGCTGGTGGCCAGGTACGTTTTCCTTGGGGCCCACCCCAGCCTCCCTGCCTGCCTTTTAGTTTCTCCCTGCCACCTTGTAGTCTCCTTGGCCTGGATTTTTTCAGTGCTTATTAGGCGTTAACACTGGGATACGGTATACATTTGGGCTGAAGAGTTTTCAATGCTGGGATCAAGAGGCTTTGGGGTGTTTCGCCCTCTGCTCTAAGATAGACTGAGTGAAAAATTGTTCTCCCCTAGAACCATAAATGTACCTGGGGTAAAATAACTCCGGCTGGCAGGAATTACTCCTCATAAGTGAATGTTTATTTCCCAGTTTGTTTGGTGTTGTTTACCCTATTTTGACAAGCAGATAATGGGGGAGAATCCTTGGAATGTGGTGATTTAGTTTTGGTGATGAATCTCTTTGGAGGGGTCCTTCTGACACTCAAATGTGAGGAATGCCAACATTGACTTTTGGGTGTTCACTTTTTTATGAGTCTAGTTAGTGACTTGCTTTGAACAAGATCCTGTTGGCAGGCTTTTGCTCTCTGGCTGTGTTGGTCAATTTGGGTAGGAGTTTTTTCCCTCTTGAAGATTTTGTTCTCTTGAAGACCTCTATAGATTTACTTCTTAGCCGTGTGCCTGCCTACTTTATTCTCTCCCTGGGTAATACGATGTTTTTAGTTTCTATTTACAAGCATTCATCTCTGAAGGTTTTCTTTATGCTCCGTCAGTTTTATAGACATATAGACAGTTAAATAATTGAAGTATGTTCTTATGGTTACATATTTAAATATTAACATGTACACAGAGTACATACTGAATCAGGAGTATTAATATTTCATTGTCTCACATATGGTAGGACATACATTGATGGTTCATTTATATTGACAATTCAAATAAGTCAATTTAGAATATTTTGATTTTAAGTCATTAAGAGGAAGTAAGCTATATTGTAAAGGCATTGGAAAAAGAACTTTACCAAGTGTTAATATACCCTAATGTGCCTCCTTGTTATTTTAAAGCTTTGCTGATTTGTGTTTTTTTTGAGTGCTCGAGGTAATAAACTGGGATAACAGTGCAACCTGGTTTCACATTCATTATAGATCTGTGTATGTCAACCCCTCCCCCCAAAACTCTGTGTCTGTCTGTCTCTGTGTGTCTGTGTGGCTGTCTGTCTGTCTGTCTGTCTCTCTCTCTCTCTCTCTCTCTCGCTCTCTCACTCTCTCGTTCTTTCTCTCTCTGTCCCTCTGATATAGGCATACTCAAGTGAGAGAGATCTCCAGGGCAGGGATATCTTTTAATTCATCTGTCCTCTCTCAGTGCCCATCTGGAAGAAAGTAAGAAAGTGATTAATAACTGTCTTATGAATGACTGAAAATTCTAAAGTGCTCTATAACAGTTACAAAGATTAAACATGTTGAAGTTAGTTTCTTCCTCTGGTCATGAGATAATAATGGTTTTGGAATAGGTTCATTTATTCAATAAATATTTGTTAAGTACCTATTATGTGCTAGGCACTCTTCTGGGATTGTCTTTTTTATAATTTTTTTTGCCTTTATCAGTTATGCAAAACTGAAAGTTGGGAGGAAAACATGAAAAATGTTTTAATTGACATCTGTCTCCCTCCTCCCCTTCCTGCCAACCAACCCTCCAACTCCTCAACTGCCAAAATAAATTATCTAAATTATCATATTCTAGCTTATAGAGGAGATAGAATACTGGAGTAATGAAATGTTAGTTTCAGTCCCAGCGCTGCCAAGAGCTACCTGTATGTCATTTAGTTAAGCCTCTACGGCTCAGTTTTCTTAACTTTAATATTTATTCAACAAGTATTTGTTGAGCATTCACTATGTGCTAGGAATAATTGAGGGTATACTAGTGAACAAAACAGATAACAATTCTTGGAGCTTGGAGACAAAACATGGAGCTTACACTCTAGAAGGGGAGTTTGAATTAGCTTATCTAAGGACCTTTCAAACTAATATTCTGTTCTATAGGTCATATTCTATGATTTGTAGGTCTAGTGGTGACTTTTCCAGGGTACTTTAGTTCTGTGTAGCCTTAGTGTTTTCTAATTTCAGTTGTTTTCATGAGATGTTCTACTTTTTTCTTGTCAATAGAAGTAAAATTTGAGAACGATCTTGTGATTTATGTTTGTGGTGATAGATTAGAAAACCATATTAATAATTCTCTTAAAATTTTTCCAATTGCCCATTTTTCTTCAAGCCCATATTCCTAACAGTAACAAAAATATTGGGTCGTTGGGAAAGTCATGACGCATTTTTGCATTGAAAAACAGAAAAATACGTCATGGCTTTCCCGACGACCCAATACTATTAGCTTCTCTCTGGGTGTTACTATATGCCAGAAATTTTGCTTCACTTGATCTAACACTCCGTTTTGTAAATGAGGGAAGTGATTTACATAAACTAGTAAGTGGTAGATCTACTATTTGAACCAAGGTCTGTAGGACTTCAAAAGCTATTTCACTGTACTGCTCTGTGAGCTAGATGCTTAGCATACCCAATGCTCCCTTGCATTTTTATTTTCTTTTTCAGTATATGCCCTATTGTCCTAATTAGGTAGCAAACTTCTTGAGGATGGAAGCCATGTCTTTTGCCTCTGACTCTCCAGTGTCTCTCATGGTATCTTTTTTTTTCCCCCATGGTATCTTGACAGTACAATTGTGGATGCAGAAGTAGTGCTCTTGATGATGATAAAAGTTTTATTTTGTTGAAATGTGGCATGATATGAATATTTTAAATAATCTTCTAACAGCTGAGTTTTATGCTGAAGTTTTCTTGTTTTAATTGATAAAGGATTTTTTTTTTAATAATAAAAAAGTCCTTAGAATGGGACTTGGTTAAAATAATCTTAGTATATGGTTGAAAACAATAAATGCTATAACAATATTTTTCCTTTTAGTGCTTTTTTTTTTAATTGCAAGAGTGATATAATTGCATTATAGAAAATTTGGAAATTGGAGGGAAAGAAATCTCCCATAATTTCAGTTTCTCATTTATTTTCAATTTCAGGTTTAAAAAACTATGTAGTGCGTGTTATTAAATGTATCATCTTAGTGACCTGGTTTAACAATTATGACAGTAAATACAGGGCAGAGTATGCAAATTACAACATGTTCGCAGAAGCAGAAAAGGAGTATTTATTCAGCATGATACCATATTGAGTTCCTACTATGGGAAAGGCACAAAAATGATATTTTTCTTTTTTGCCTGCAATTACAGTCCAGTATACTCAGGAAATCCATGCTTCCTTGAGCGATATCTAAACCTTCTCAAAAATGGCTTGGAACGTTCAGTATTTGGGAGGAAGTGTCATAGTTAAAATTAATTAGGAACAGTTGGGTTTGTCCAATAGTGAGTCTCCCAGGAATAACCTAGGAGTGTATTCCTTTGTTTTTACTCTGTTTACATACAGAATGATAACAGACTAACATGTATTAGAAGAATACTGAGCATCTTTATTTAGCAGCAAATCATAGTTCTAATCTCCTCTCTCACTAATAGTCTGATATGGGGCCCAATCTAAGGTCTTTTACTTGCTCTTCAAGGAATTATAAACACATTTTGTGTATTTCTTTGTTTTGTGAGTTTTGGAAACCAAAAGCAGGAAAATGTGGGGGAAAGGGGCTGGCAAGGGGCTAGGGGCAGAGAGAGAGAGAGAATATGAATGAATCTGGTTACTTGGAGAATTAGTAGAAATAAATGAAAAACTAATCCAGGCAGACTTCATGAGGCAGACCCATACACTGGAATTTCATTTTAAAGTTGTTGAACTCTCATCAAGAAGATAAAATATTGTGCCTTCATTAAAAATTATGTTTATTAGAAGTTTGTAATAATCTGACAAATGTTATAATTTGAATGCAGTATTACAGTAAAGTAGAAACATTTTACATAGACAAATGATCTAACCCAGTTAAGCATGCATAGAAAAAAGACTGAAAGAAAAAAACACCCCAAGATT